AAAGTTTATTTCATGTTATAGGAAAAACGTGGAATTAAATATTTTAACAGACTTTTTCTGATAAAGTTACTTTGACAAACAGAACATATTAATTTTGTATCTTAGTGATATGATACAGCATATTTGGGTTATAAATAATTATTTAGGAATAGATCATAACACCTACACCACTGGAGAATAAGAGTTCACTCCCTACAGCCAACCTCCTTTGGCCTCCATGTATTCTTCTTACCTTGTTGTTGTAGTCTTTGTTTTAGGATTTAGGTTTTCTTTGTTTTTTAAAAAAATAACCAAATCTCTGAGATCTTGGTATTTAGGTCACCCCTAGCATGTTACTATTGTAGTGTTAAGATAAACCAACCACTATAGAGATAAAGATTTTTTTTAGGTGAGCTATTCTATTTCTTGGCAGCCTCACCTTTATTTTTAAAACTAGACAAAGCTACCTGCTTATTTATTTATTTTTTCCATCTGTTTTCTTCATTTCAGTTTCATTCTAAAGAAGCTATTGGTTTGTTTTTATTTAGTGTGCCCCTTTATGATTGTTCTCAGCTTTCATACCCATGCTACTCTGTATGACTCTGGTTCACTGTTGTGTTCTTCATGTTCTTTTATAGCTCATTGTGATTGGATGATAGTTGGCACTTTATCTTATGTTCATAGACCCCTGTATTTAATGATGACAAAATTTTCAAGTGCTGCTATTTTGTGAAAGCATTTAATTTCATTGATGATAGAAGTAGTTCAGAAAAATCTACAACTTCATTCTTGGGCATTTTCCATTTATTAATAACCTGCAAATCAGTTACAAGTTTTGTACAATCTTACATTAATACAAATTGTAATTACCATAAGGTATCATAATTTTTGTAGTTTTAACATTATTTTAACACAGTTAAAATTTATCACCTTGCTTTTCTCTGTCATTTTCCCTAATACACCTTTTTATACTAGTTCTTAACCTGAAGAATATTTTCTTTAGTTGATTCTGAGATTATGTATATAATGATTATTTCCAAAGTCATAAAGTGGTGACTAATTTTTTTTTCTGGAATGAGTTTTATTCATGATTATGTTCCTAAATTCTGTCAGTGATTACATAAGACATTAGTTATTGAGATTTCATTTCCTTCCTTGTGTTAGTATTTTTAGTGACTAATAAAATCATTAAATATCTTGTAGCAAGGAAGAGAAGCCTGATTTTATATAGACTGTGAATAACTAAGAGTAGATTGTCTGTTTTATACATTTCTTACCTAGAAGCATAGGACTCCACTTTCCTTCTTGGAGATTCCACTTTACCCACTGGAGCTTATTATTATGCAGACAAGTAAATGCTTAAATATTTTTTGGTAGTGATTTTGTTACACATATTTTTGATTACTTTTCTTTACTTTAAGAGTAACAGTATTCTCATAATTATTTACAATTGTTCACATGTAAAAGCATATAAACATATCTTACGTCTTCCCATGTGTTGTAAGTTTTCCAGCCAATATCGGCCTCTGCAAAACTCTACATGAATCCTTATGCAGAAACAGAGCTCAAAACACCCAAACTGGACTGGAACATAGAAGTACAAAATATTGCCATTGAACTCACCAAGCCTCAGGTACAATTTATTTGGACATTTCTAGCTTTGTTTAACCTTGAATTTTCACTGTTTTTATCCTTTGTGATTATTGCTTCTATTGTGGTCTGGTAGTTCTTTTGGTTTGTTATATTGAGATTTGACTCTTAAAAAAATCTTTTTTTTAATAAGAGAAAATAAATTTCAAGTTTAAAAAATAATTTCCTTTATTTTACCTGATCTTTTCCTAAATGGTGGCGAATCATATTAGGCTATAGTGAATGACATTATTTCCATTTAATTCACGAATGTTGGTGGAGGATTTTAATATGTTTTTCCCTCCTCAGTTTTTAATAACAGACACTCTTATATTAAATATTGTTTCTTTAATTTTTAGAACAGCTATATTAGCAGCATTTTCCTCCATTTGTTTTCCAAGCATTGTTTCCAAGGTTATCTGCCCAGAGTGTTTGGGTAACAGACCTGGAGAACTGGAAGGGAAAGGAAGACAGGCAATTTAGCTAATTGAGCTTTTAGCCCAGTACTGTCCAATTAGAATGTAATGTGGGCAGGACGTGGTACTTACCCATCTAATGCTAGCACTCTGGGAGGTTGAGGCAGGAGGATGCCTTGAGCTCAGGAGTTTGAGACTAGCCCCAGCAAGAGCAAGATCCTGTCCATCTCTACTAAAAATAGAAAAATTAGTCCCAGCTACTTGGGAGGCTGAGGCAGGAGTATCCCTTGAGCCCAGGAGTTTGAGGTTGCTG